CACGGACGTTTAGGCACGGGCAAAGGTTCAGGCAAGCCTGCTTTCTCCTTATGCTCAACCTTGTCTTGCTGGCAAGTGAGACAAATGCAAACATATTCTTCCATCATCACGCATTTGGGGCCAATAATATCCTTGTTTCACCAAGGCCAATGTTCGCTCCCAACCTAGATGTCCTGCCCAAAGTGTATCATGGCACTCCCTAAGAAGTGTCTTCCTCAAATCACCAACCTTGGGTACAAATATGCGGTTGCCTATTGTCATTAGAAGTCCATCTTGCACTCAAAATTGGCGAGTCTTGCCCATTTTGACAAGGTTAATAAGATTCTCTGCCATAGCATCCTTGTCTAGATGAGCCTTGATTTTCTCCATGATACTGGTTGAAATGGAAGTAAGTGAACATACATGATGGCACACGGCAAGCTCTGCCTTTCTACTTAGTGCATCAGCAACATGGTTGGTGGCACCGGCCTTGTATTCTAATAAGGCAAAATCAAACTCTGCCACCGTGCTTGTTGTGCGTTTAGCTTAGGCTGTGTTAAGAAATGGCTAACCGCCGTGTTGCCAGTCTTTACAACAAATCGTGAGCCCAAGATGTAGTGCCTCCAAGTCCTCAGACAATGCACTACTGCAAGCAGCTCTTTCTCATGAGTTAGATATCTCCGCTCAGCATCATTGAGCTCCCTACTCTCATAGGCAATTGGGTGACCATCCTGCAAAAGAACACCACCCAAAGCAGATCAGATGCATCAATTTGTATCTCAAAAGCTTTACCTAAGTTAGGTAGAGCAAGAATAGTATCTTTTGACATAGCTTCTTTCAAGGCTTGAAAGGCTTGTTGACACTCCTCTGCCCAAACATATGGCTTGCCCTTCTTTAACAACTCTGTCAATGGGGAAGCTAGTCTTGAGTAGCCTTCAACAAACTTGCGATAATAATTAGCCAACCCAAGGAATGACCGCAACTCTAGGACATTAGTGGGTGGTTGCCACTATTGAATAGCCTTGACCTTCTCTTGGTCCATTTTGATGCATCCATACTCAACAATGTTCCCTAGGAACTTAATCCTCTGTTGGGCAAAAAAACACTTTTCTAGCTTGACATAAAGCTTGTGTTTCCTCAACTTAGTAAGGGCTTCTGAAGATGCTCTACGTGCTCTTCTAAAGTGAAGCTATAAATTACAATGTCATCCAAATATACTACCACAAATTGATCTAAATACTCTTAAAAAACTTCATTCATCATGGTGCAGAATGTTGCTGGGGCATTGGTCAAGCCAAATGGCATGACAAGAAACTCATAAGAGCCATAACGAGTAACACAAGTAGTTTTAAGCTGGTCTCCCTCGGCAATTCTTACTTGATAGTACCCCGATCGAAGATCTAGCTTTGTGAAATACCTCGCTTTGCTCAATTGATCAAATGAATCTACAATGAAAAGAAGGGGATACTTGTTCTTGATGGTCAGCTTGTTGAGTGCCCGATAATCCACGCATAAGCGAAGACTACCATCATGCTTCTTTTAGAATAAGACAGGTGCACCGAATGGGGCCTTAGATAACCTAATGAAGCCTGCTTCCAAAAACTCTATAAGCTGCTTCCTTAACTCATTTAACTCAGGAATAACCATTCTATATGGTGCACGAGCTGGTGGCTTTGCTCTTGGCACCAACTCAATAACATGATCCACGCCTCGGTGTGGAGGCAACTCCTTAGGCAACTGTTCAGGCATAACATCTGCAAATTGCCTTAAGACCTTCTTGATTGCAACTGGGACAGGAGTAAATTCAAGAGCTTCATTCAACTTCAATGCGGCAACCCAAGTTTGCTCACCATGCTTAACACCCCTCTTGAGTTGCATAGCTGAGGCAAACTAGTCACTGTTGTTGGTGGCCATAGCAGGAATAAGACATGGCTTATCCCTCATGACACATATACTATTAGAATAAGGCATGACTGCCGTCTTTGTGCTTCTCAAGAAATCTAACCCAAGGATGGTTTGGAAGTCATCTATGGATACTGCAGTGAAGTCTACTCTTCCTTCCCAAGTGTTGACCTTCAAATGAACAAATTTTGCAACCCCATAGATAGGCTGCGCTGCCGAGTTAACCGCCTTGATGCAGCTGCCATCCTTCTCTAAAGATAACCCAAGTCTTTCAATTTCGGTCCCCGCAACAAAGTTATGAGTGGCCCCTGTGTCAATCAAAGCACGGAGGGGCTTCCCATTGAGTTTTACATCCACAAACATCAAGCCTTTGTTGGATGACTTGTTCTTGTTCAACTTGCCTGATGATTCCCCACCATGCTTGGGTTTCTTCCCTTTGCCTTCATCTTTGGACTCCACAAGTTGTTTAAGATCTGAATGTTTGCCCACTTTTCCACTATTGGCATTCTTCTTAGGCCTCCTTGTAGAAGCCTTCTTCTCTATGGCATTCATCATATGAAAGGCTCCCAATCTAGAGCCAGCTACCCTAGAACCCTTGCTACTTCGCCTAGACTGCACGTTTTCTTTCTCGCTATCATCATCACTTAGTTGAGAGACATGGCCAGACACAATTTCTTGAACATTCAAGGCATGCTTTTGTGGACATTCAGATAACTGGTGTGGCCCATTGCATAAGAAACAAAAGATAAGGCCTTTTGGTTTTCTTGTAGAGAATTGTTGAGGGGCTTTTGCCTTGTCACCATAGCTCTTCTGTTGCCATTGTCCTCCACTCAAATGGGTTTTGGATGTAGAATTGTTGGCTCCCCCACTCTTAGGTTTGCCATAGCCTTGGGACTTTCCACCTCCCCTACTTTTGCGTGGGGAACCACTATCTCGTTGCTTAGGTTCGGCGTAGTCCGTAAGGCACTTAGCTGCTGTTTGTGCATGGGCTAAATCTTGTACTATTTGCCTTTGAAGTTCAACTCTAGCCCATGGCTTCAATCCCTCAAGAAATAAGAAGAGCTTGTCTTTCTCTGACATGTCTTTAATGTCTAGCATAAGTCCAGAGAATTGTTTTACATAATCTCTTATAGTGCCGGTGTGCTTAAGATCCCGCAAAGCACGCCGGGCATTATACTCAACATTTTCGAAGAAGAATTGGAGCTTAAGTTCATGCTTAAGTTGCTCCCAAGTCTCAATTGTGCATAAGTCGCATTGCATCTCATCATGTTTAGTCTGCCACCACAGCTTGGCATCATCGAACAAATACAGTGTGGCCATAGAAATCCTTGTCTCCTCAGCATCGGTTTTCACAGCTTTGAAATATTGCTCCATATCAAAGGGAAAATTGTCTAACTCCTTGGCATCTCGGGGCTCGGGCACACGCGTCCTAGTGAATTCCATGCCACCACTAGGTGCGTTGCCAAAGGCACGGGTAAGAACACTAACCCGGCCACTGAGGTCTTCAATCTCTAGCCTGAGTTCAGTGACAACATCCTCAAAATCTTGCCCTTGAGTAGGGCTATGAGTTTGCTCAAGATCATGAACCTATTGTTCAAGGGTGGCCAATGAAGCTGCCATGGCGTCCATATTGTCCATACGCTGTTCCAAGAGCTCAATTCTCTCCCTTTGCATGGGTTGACAATTGCCAGTAGCATCCATTTAGAAAGCCAATAATAGAGAAAGCCAAATAGACTAGGCTCTGATGCCAACTGTCACACACCGGCAATGCAGAAGCATTGACAAAGATATGTAAGTGTGTGTGGCGCTAGTTAACTCTCTTCACTAGCCCGCCAATAATGCTCAAAAGGTTTGCAAAGACAAGCAAACACAATATTAGTTAAGTTGATGAGCCACAAGATTGGAGACAAGCCACAAAATAGCAACCAATAAGCTAAAATTAAAGTAAGCAAGAATTGAAAGGCTTTGCACAATTTAAGGCGAAATGAACTTTTCATTAATCAAAAGAAAGCATTACAATAGTTGAACAATGCACCAAAAGTGCTACAAAAGTTTCCTTACCATAAGCTAGGTTGGGGTATTTTAAAGGCACAAGTGATCTAGTTCAACACTTGGGTACCCCCTCCTTAATATAGCTTGTTAAGCCTTTTCCTAACTGGCAAGAGGAAACATTCACTATGTTTAAGGAGTCATAATGGATTTTTAAAAATTCTACAAAAAGAGAAAAATTACTCCCAAAACACCTTTAATACTAAGATATTTGTATAAAAATTTACAAGGTAAAAAGATTACATTTGACTCTCCAAAAGTTAGCATAAAATTGTTACTTGAGTAGGCAAGTCTATGGCTTGCTATGGCTAGGTTGCTTCATGGCATGTCTTGGACTATCTTGCACTATGCTTTGGACCTTTGCTTGCACTTGCACCAACAACTTCTTAGGCATGTTTTTAACTCTCCAAAAGACACAAATAAATGTGACATCAAAGTGTTGACCCTTAGATGGACGCACCTTGACACCTTGCCATGATTTGAACCATTACCACCTAACACCCTTGCTACCATGGGAAATGATGAAGGTGGCAGGAAAGAATAGAGTAAGGAAGTGGTGTGATGGAGAGGGAAGACAACTCGTGGATTGATGGATGAAAGGTAAGGGTATTTAGGTAATTCTAGTATATTATGTGAGGGCAGTTCTGTATTTTTCTCATTTTCTGTTACAGATGTTAAGTGACAAACATTAATAAGGATAGACAAACTACACATGTAAAGTAAGGGTTGGGCAACCACGCGCTTCAAAAATAATCTCATAATATTATTTTAAAAAATACGTGGGTTCAATGATATCGTATGGTAGATGCAAAGCAAATAAAATGCCCCAGTTTCATATTCAACCACTTAATAATCTCGTTAAATCCATTTTATTTAATTAACTCACACTAAAATAATAAAATAAAAGAAATTGTCTGATCAAAATCAAAAACAAGAAAGGAAATTGCCACTGGCTCATGTCAAAAGGGTGAGCAGAATCATGAGATGAGAAACATGCCAACCCTCAGCTGTGACTGAAAACAATGGAAATTAAATTCTCAGTATAACTTTGTCATATCATAATCAACATCAAAAGGAAAAAAGAAAAATAATAATAATAATAAAATGGAACATTCATAATGTCATATGCATGCAGGGTTTGCACTTAAATTCTTTTACTGATACAAGTCTTGCCCGGTGCATGCTCTCTAAAAATAAAAATAAAAAGTCTTGACCAGAGCATTAACAAAATGATTCTCTTCTCTGGAAACCGAACATTAAACATCACAAGTTCAAATCCATTAGATTGCAGTAAGTGCAAGGATTTGAACTTAGTTCCGGTTGACTATATATATGTCTGCCTTCAGCCTGCAGTTCCAACTGATCACTTGGAATTTGAAAATTCAGATCGATAGAAATCCTCATCTACAATTACTGGAGGTATACTCCATGTGCCAAGATAAGGTCCTGATAACTTCCCTCCTATACAAGAAGTCAAATCACAATCACATCATAGTCGAAACAAATCCATATTCAAAAATTGGAAGAGATTTTAGCATATGAATTGAGTTTTAATGGCCTAGAGTTTACCTTCTCTAGTGGCTTCTTCGCATCTTCTCTGATAATTAGTAGACAGTTTGGGATCCAAATCTCTCAATAAGCGATCATACTTCTCTTCAGCCTCACTAATGCATTTTGCCTATTAGTAGACAGTTTGGGATCCAAATCTCTCAATAAGCGATCATACTTCTCTTCAGCCTCACTAATGCATTTTGCCTAAATATCAAATCAAATCAAATCAAACCAAGCCTTAAATCCCATCATTTTGCCTAGCAGAAGGAAAAATAGATGAATTGTATAAACAAAAGAAAAAACAAAAATAAAAAAAAAAATATATATATATATATATATATCAAAAATCAAAACACCACTATAAGCAAAGAAATTAGTAAACTGATGTTAAGGAGTTTCTGCCAGCCTCACTAATGCATTTTGCCTAGCAGAAGGAAAAATAGATGAATTGTATAAACAAAAGAAAAAACAAAAATCAAAAATATATATATATATATATATCAAAAATCAAAACACCACTATAAGCAAAGAAATTAGTAAACTGATGTTAAGGAGTTTCTGCAAATACCAAAACATGCACAGCCATATACATACAGATGGATATATATGTTTCTACGCATGATTGAGATATTTGAGTACCCATAATTTTTGGGGCCAGCAACCCCCATAAGAGGGCCAGAGTACTGAAAACTCTCCAAAAAAATATTATGGAACCAAGAATATAATTACTCAAAAATAAAGCCTATTTTTCATTTCAATTGCCTTAATTAACAATACTTCGATAAAGTAAACAGTTCCAACTTGCTTGTATTCCCAAACTTAAACCATGGTGGTTGCATCATTTGGAGACATAATGATAGTAAAATGTACAATGAATTTTCTTGTTTATTTGTTTTACCTGATGCACATACGTAACGACAAAATAGAATTGGTATAATAGACTATTTTTTTTGACAATACCATCCACTCCGATCAACTCTTATAAGCCAATATGAACAACTAGAAGAATAATGACAATTTCTGCATCTTGAATAAGCACAGGTTCACAATATCTCATTTGTTGAACCAATGAGGTTCAAAATGAACCAATCAAGTGTTGTGTATTGTTTACATTGTGTCAACAAATTTGTACTCTAGATTTAAGATCACAATTTCAAAATGGCGACTACCAAAAATAAGAAGATGCTAATTGGCATTTCCCACAAGTTCAACATTCACCCAGAAAAAATAATAATAATTAAATTAAATCATATTTTTAAAAAATAAAAATTCTTCATAGACTTTGTAGGAAATTGTAGTAATTTATTGGTCAAGAAATAAGGAAAAAGCTATGGATATTGATATCCTCTATTGTGTCACATTTTAAAATACTGTTGGCACGTCCAAGATTAGTGCTTTACAATGTTTAATCAGTGAGTCTATACAATTTATACCTAGGTACATTATCATACCCACCAGCATGGTCGGCGCTACAGAAGCTCCATATATTCTAACAAACATGCGCAAAACATTAAAATTGTTCTCCAACACATCATCCTACAAGGAAAAAAAAAACACAATCTATGATCTAAAAAGAAAAGGATAAGCTGAAATGAAAATGGAAAGAAATACCTCACTATAAATGGACTCACCTCATAGTCAAACCTACAGCATTATCATGTCATCTTGTTACTGAGGAAATCGATAGTATGCTTCCCACACATTATAGAAACCAAAAAAAAAAAAAAAAAAAAAAGGAGAGAAGAAGGAGAAGATTATCATTATGTTACACAACAGCTGAATTAAGCAATGTAAAAGCAGCAAAGGATAAGAATGCATGCACATAAAACCAGCCAGACATAAAGCTAAAAAAAGGATCCCAGAATCTAAAAAGTGCAAACATATAGATATAATAGCTTAGTGTGTATGCAAGTTCACATGCATTGGCGCCAAGGCAAGCCTCTTGCACACAGTTACAATCCATTTTTTTGATCACATATTACATGGTAATAGAAGAATAAAATGGTTCACCACTTATTGGGTAAAATAATGTTCCTCCTGTGGGCGAGTAGAAAATAATCAACTAAAATTCATGGAATTGAAGTACTTACATATCATCAGACAGCTCGACAAGGAATTCTGAGACTGAGAGAAATTCCATGTGCAAATCATTAACCTATACAACAGCTTTAAAAGAAATACATTAATCTTGTGGAATATACCACTTCCAACAGAATGAAAATTTGACATTTTCTAGAATAATAACATAATTCGTACACACAAAATTTTTCAAAACAAAAACAAGAAAACATGATTAGTGAGTTGCTGAAGGGAGTGGAGTGCCTGGAGGGGAGAAGTTGGTGAAGGAGGAGAGGGGAGGAACAAGAAAACATGATTAGTGAGTTGCTGAAGGGAGTGGAGTGCCTGGAGGGGAGAAGTTGGTGAAGGAGGAGAGGGGAGGGAAAGGGAAAGAAAACTTGCTTTCAAAATAAATGAAAATATATACATATATATATATATATATAATTTCACAAAATTTTGAAAAACATGACATTCTTTTGGCAAAGAACACAGTACCAAACATATATTTGTTTCCATGTTTCAAAAAAATATTGAAACAAAAGCATTACCAAACAGACCCTAATTAAATTACAATATCAGCAGTAGTTAAATTACAATATCAGCAGTAGTTAAAACCATGCTATGGAAAATTAATCACAAGCTCATACACAAATCTTTTCATAAAAAATAAAAATAATAAAAAATTCCAATTTGTTGCATGAATATGAAGGTGAAAAGACTCTACTTATATCATGAAAGTTATGATACAAAACTTAAAAGAGGAGTGCCATGACATCAAATTGTTCAAACAAAATTAACAATTTTTTCAATTACAGGATTTACTCAGTTGTGATTACATGGCCAGGAAATTTTATGCCTATGCCATTCAACAGCAGAAAACACTAATTGCTGATTCATGCCATCAGTACTCCTAAGACAACCAAACATATTTTTGAAATAAAAAAAAAATTATTTAGGTTGCAAAACCAAAGAACATAAGCAATCGATAAAAAACCAAACAGAGCAATATACCTTTTCTCCTCTTAACTGGTATAAAAGAAGATTCAGCACCCGATAATCAAATGATTTTAGATGAATCGCCCTCATCACATCTTCAACTAAAATCTGTATAGCATCTTTCATCAAAATCAGGAAAGAAAAACATTGAGCATGCTTGTGCCATGTGCGACTTCAAAAAATAATATTAAACTATACAGGATGCATAGAAAACAGTTCAAAAACAACTAGGCCTCAAGTTTTGTCCAAATTCAGGAGTTCTACCAAACAGAAACCAAAAAGTGTAGTAATAAAATATATTGATTAGAAATAACATGAGTATATCGGACTCCATTCACAAGCACTTGGAAGAATAGAACAGTCTCTTGAGTTGCATAGTCAAGATTTACTACAACTGTAGTAATAATATAGGATGCATGCATCTTTTACCTGTGAGAAAATCTCGAATTCCAGGTTTTATATGTGTTTTCAAGCATAACTGTATGTCATATCAAATCCCCGTATAACTGGCAGATCCATTAATCAACAAAAAGGTACCAAATCGCTTCTACTTCTCTCTATATTGTATTTTAAGCTACATTTCACTTGTTTTGGCAACTCAGGGATATATTTGTAATTGATGTCAGGAATTGGTTCTCCAAAAGATGTTGTTCTGATGAGTAAAATGTAGCACCTTGACTCCCATCTCTCATGGCTAGCATATACAGTAGCAAGAAACACAACAATGTCCTTTGAGTCCTGATTAGCTAGAATTCATTTCAAAATCCACTTTTTTCACATTACACATTGTTTTTCATTACAACACCACGTAATACAAGGAATTAGTGGACATGACTGGCTGATAATGCTCAATTTTATGAACTGTGCAGTTTTTACTTTTCTAAAAAAAATCTCCCAGAAAATTACAATATGAGTACCTTCTTGTTGCTTGTTAAAGCACAACAGAGCTTTCTTTCTAGAGCCCAGTATTCCTCTCCATGCCTAAACTCCTCCCTTATCCTGAACATATAAAGCAGACTATAAAAACAAAATCCACTGTGCAAACTTGACACCTGTTTTTTTTTATAAAAAGAAAGCACAAACCGCTCTGTCAAAAGTCCGTGATGCTCAAATGGAAGAACAAGAAGTCCAAATGGATTGGTTTTGAACAGCTCTATGAACTTAACAACCCAGCTCTGATTAGCTTCCTGCATCCAGTCAAAATCAATGGGCAAAGTAATAGTTGATGAACTACTTAACAAAAATTGTACTTTATTTTTTTCTTTTAAAGTTCTTAGTATTACCAAATGAAACCCTCTTTCTAAAACTGTAACTTCTTCAGTTGGTATTTTGAGCATTTTCTCATTTAATCTATCCAACTGCATCACCAAAACCAAGAGAATATTGAGAAATAAGAAAGACAAAGAGATCTAATACCAAATGATCAATGATATCAAATTTTTCATAGGTTGCAGCACTCTAAACCACAATTGCATAAAATCACAACCATGCTTGCAGAAGTTCTGTTGGATAGCCCAAGCAACAAAATCCTTCTGCCCCTCTAGGCCAATAAAGAAAAGAAGATGGTGAAGAAATATAGGCCACTTGTGATGATTCATTAAAATAATGGCAACACATACTTCAATTTGGAAGTACAGATATGTAATACCACAACATCAAGTCACAAATGATCGCAGCCTGCACAGCTATTATTTGGAAACTCTCAACAGAACTTCAACGAATTAATCAAGCATTATTCATTGTTTCTCCATTTATGAATAAGATAGCCTAAGATGATAGCTTTACACAGATTGTTACCTGATAGATATAACTTTCTGTGAATGAAAGTATTGGCAAATATCTGAAGATTGATTGCGGCCTGTTAACATCCATGTCGTGAAACATAAAATAAGACCTGCACTGTTGACAATCATTACATGACTTTCATAACCAATTGGAAAATTTAGGTGAGAAAGAGTCTGCAACTAGGAAAAGAACATAAATTTATTAATATTCCAAGACTACATTTGTCTTAAATAGCTCCTAATGAGGATTGACGGAAACTAAAAATTGGAGTTATTATATATAGAGTTCATTAAATATAATTTAAAACAATAATTGGTTCTGTTGTATTGGCAACGGAGCATCACAAAGGAGAAATGGGGTGATTAAGTGATTTTAAATGGCATTATTTTGGAAATGTATTAATGAATAAATAGAGACACACTTGAATGTTTGTAAAATGAGAAGATTCTCATTTGAAAAATGTAAGGTCAAACACACTGAACATAACAAATTTCACATGATACATGCACCTATCGAATAGACGTTTCATTTATTAATGATTCAGAGAATTGCACCAATAAATATGTGTCTTGTCTGGCAAAAACTCATACATCAGCTAATCAGATGCTAGCTAACATCAATTTAGTACAAATCCCCTTAAGAAAGAAAAACTGTCTCAGTAGGTAACTGTGAACATAAAATGCAGCTAAATATCATTACTTAAGTAATCAAGCCCAAATCCCATTATTCACAAAGGAATACTCAATAGTGCAAGAGCATGGCCACATGTGTAGCCAAATATGAAATGATCAGTTTATAACCTTTTCTTTTGACTTTCAACAGTCAGTCTAATACTAAAATCTGTTACTTAATAACCAAGTATTGCTTACAAAATCTTCCAGAGTAGAATTTGCATCTTGCATTGCCGCCAGCCCAACCATAGCCATGTCATCATGATCAGTTTGCAATGAATTAGTGCCTGCTTTGTGCTCACAATTGCCTGCAAGAAATAGTATTCATAATGTGTACATTAATGAAGATACAAATGTGTGTGCGTGTTCAGGTGATTCAAAAGAAAAGTCTAGTCAATCCTAGCAAGATAACTAGTCTCATAAAAATTTCACCACCACAGCCTAGGCTTCCATCGTTTCTTCAACAATTATCTTAAAACACATTCCAAATGGAATCTCAAACATACTGGAAGCACAGGTTTGAACTCTAAAGAACAAAAGCATGAAACTAAGATCATGCAAGAAAAAGATTTCATCTTTCCAGTAAACAATTTACATGACAGAAACAATTTAATAAAGCGATTAATTCAATTGCATAAATTCTTATTTCTTTCTCTTTTGAGAGGCTTCTCAAAATATGTTGACGAGCAATTTGAACAAATTGAATTTTGGGGAAAGAGGGAGGGAAACAGTTTGCCTATTCAAAAAACCAAGACCACTGTATATGTTTACGAAAGTATCAATGAGTAGCAAGGACAGGTAATTAAAAAATCATCAGAGAAACCCTAAAGCCTGATGTCCTCAGAAAAATCAACTTGATTACTGCTGCCTTAAAACAACCATAAAGTTATACCTTTCTCACTGAGGCAGGGCAATGCTTCTTCAAGAAACACAGTAGAAATCTGTCAAACAAGTAATGTAAGTCACAAATAGCCTTCTTTGATTGCTAAAGAAATGAAATCTGGTGATCAGAAAGGTATGTTTACCTTGGGCAAGTTCTCATTTATCAATTTGCACTTCTTCTCCATGTCAAGGTCACCATATGGTTGTATCTTCAACATTAAATTTCGAAACCATAGAGAATCAGCAAGCAAATAACTTTCTTTTCTTAATTTTTTTCATGAGAAGAAGAACATGCTAACATAGAACAAGTGCACTTTTGTGTACAAATTAACAAGTGCGAACAGTTATGCCATGACTAGATGACTAATGAATGGTTACTTGTATTGTATTTCTCACAAGACTAACACTTTACTAAGCCATGAGAGGTCCTCATTTTATAAGTGCTGATGTTGGACAAGAAAATTAAAGTTTGCAAATTCCCCCAGCCCAGGTGTAAAGCATGCAATATGCACGTGTGCACTGTTTTTGTTAACTCTGTACCAAGACAAAATATTAACAGACAGACCAAAGCCATGCTAGCGCAAAATATAACCCGTCAATAAAGGTGACCTGTTAGTGGCCTCTCACGAATTGGTTTTCAAGCCAATATGTAGTGTTTGGTTCATTGAAATGAGGTGGAATGGAATGATCACTCTTATCAAAATGTTTATTCTCAAGTTAGTTTCACTAAAAATTTGATACAAAATGTATTGAAATGGAGACTTACGCTGGGTTTGGTTGGGAGATTTAGGGAGGAATTTGGAAAGAGAAAGGAAAAATGTGTGTGAAAGTAGTTATATTTTATTCACATTTCACTTACGTTTTCCATTTTTCTTTCCAAATTTCTCCTCAAATCTCGCAACCTAACACAGCATTAGGGAATGTATCAAAATAGTTATTCCATGAGGAGACTAAGGAATGTCCATTACATTTTCATTCTAGTGAACCAAACACAACATGAATCAATAGGGCAATTTCCAACTGAGCATATTAGACAGCATTTATACAACCATGAATGTAGCTTGTAGTCATCTGGATTCTTTTCTTTCTTTCTTTTTTTCTTTTTTTTTTTTTTTAAAGAGGGTAAGTTTGGGGGAAAATGACAAGATGGCATTGGAACATCAGTTTGGAACATAGACTAATAGTAATAAGTCAAGCTTCACCATCTTCCAGTTCAAAAAAAAAGCTTCACCATCTTCTCCCATTTATTTCACGTTTCAAATTGCATTTAGGCTTTTACTCCAATTGGGATTCTTACTTTTTCTTATTCTTTTAAAATTGGATCACATTTTAAAATTGTGGGTGTAGGAAGCCATCCTAAGCAAAGCACTAATGTGGTCATAAAAAATAAGCCAAAAATTTAATCATTTATAAAAACTTGTTAATTGTAAGCCCCAATTCTGACTCCAAAGACATCTGAATCACTTCCTCCTATCCAATATTGTCGAACGGTTTTCAACAAAGAATGTGATGTTGCTCTATCGTAAACCCTTTTTCTTTTTCTTTTTCAAGCTTCACATAAAGATTGGAAAATTGTTTGTGGGTGTTGTTGGAGATGAGTGATTACCAAAAGGAGGATGAAATTAGCGAGGAAGCGATCGCAGTCGGCGTGGTTGTGGTTGTGGTTGTGGTTGTTGTTGGAAGAAGAGATGGACTCTCGCGATTGCATTGACAGTATAGTCCTCTGCACTTGTTCCAGCTTCCTCAGACCTTCCATTTCTCCGCAGTTTTATTGTACTCTATTTTTTTTTTTTTTTCTTTTTTTGTTATATCCTTCTCCTTCACTGTAGTATATAAAGCGGCAGTGCACATATTTGAACAAGGACAATGCTACGTAGGTCAAATTTTTTTGTTTAAAAATGGTTTAAATGGCTAAAACGACGTCATTTTGAGTACAGAACAACATAAAAATGGCCAAAACGACGTCGTTTTAGCCATTTGAGCCACTTTTGAGTCACAAAATTTGAGTTACGAGACATTTTCTTTAGAACAATGCTCTTTTTTTTCTTTTTTCCTTTTATCTTATCTCCAAAAAAAAATTAAAAAAATTATGATTTTTTATGGTGTTAAATTTTATAAAAATAATTACCAATTTATGTTTTTAATTCAAGTTAAAACTCAAAAAGTCAAAACTAAAAAAATTAAAAGCTAGTAAAAAAGTTAAGAGCCCAAGATCTTAAATAATATATATTATATGTATTTAATAATTGTAAAAAAATGATATATAATTTTATATTTTTTTAGTCATAACTAAAAAAATATAAAAAATTATAACCAAACGCAATAAGTTATAACTAAAATTTTAAAATAATGTCATAACTAAAAAAAATTGATCATAACTAAAGAATAAAATAATTAAAGGTACATATGATATGAGATATACATATTAGAATTCTCCATACACCATTATAGTTTTTGATGATATAGTTTGTTCCAGTGAATGGATCGGACTGGTCCAAGTTCCTCAAGCCCAGGTCCAAATGATCAAGTCCACCGGATAACCTGCAAACAAGTTCAACGGGGAACGGGATAGTCTCCCAGTGAACCCTTCGACGAGCAAGTCAGGAAGAGAAGTAGAATGTAATTGAGGGAGAGATTAGAGATAGAAAAGCTTAACCTTATTCTTGTCTTCAACGTTTGCTTATATCCTTTGGTAATCATTTCGTTGTCTCATCCGACCTGACCTCCTCGCCGAAAGTCTATGCTGTAGCTTACCTTGTTCAGGGTAAGGGGGTCCTGTTCCGACGGAGAGGTGTTGTCATAATAAATGCTGTGATGGGCTGCATTAATGGTGATTTGCAGTGGCAATAACTTTGCAGATCTTTGTCTGCTGACGTGGCTTGTCCTTCACCTGCCATGTGTCTGAATGTCATTGGCTCTTTATGCCATGTTGGATTCCAGCTATCCTGGACCTCACCAGCTGGGTTATGTATTGGGCTCAAAGTGATGGGGTTGGGTTGTTTATAGTGATTCATGGCCTTTATGAGCTTATACACGTCAGTTATATTTAGCTTGCTTGGTTTTATTTTTTTAAAAATACTTTTCAGAAAATTTTACTTTTTTATTTTTCGTATTTTTTTGTTTTTACTGAATTTTTTTAATATTTTAGACAATGTTTTTACCTTTTAGACACACATAATATAAAAACACCTAAAAAGTAAAAAAATTGTAAAAAATTCACTAAATACCAAAAATATATTAAAAAAAATATAAGAATTCAGTATATTTTTTGTATTTCTATGTATTTATTAATTTTTTAAAATATTTTTTCACAAATTTTTTACTTTTTACATACATCTAAGTAAAGTGTATCTAAAAAAACTAAAAAAATGTTTTAAATTTTAAAAATATTCACTAAAAACAAAAAAAAAACATGAAAACTAAAAAACTCGATTTTCAAAAAATTTAATCTAAAAAACTCAAACCAAACACACTGATTAAATTCAGGAAACTTTTCGATACACACCGTCTTGTACACATTTGTTATGCATATTTGTCATATATTGCCTCTGTTTGGCAAGTTGGTTCTTGGGCTTTTTTGGCTATTTTAGCCACAAAAGACAAAATAGGCTATTTTAGCCATAACAAACAAAACATCACATCCAACCCATAATCATTACACTCTTCTCTCACAAAAAAACTCAAAAAAGCCAAAAAGCCAAAAAGCCCTTCCCAAACCAAGCTTTTAAGCCCAGGCTAAAATAGCCTAAAAAGCCAAAAAGTCAACCCACTTCCCAAACGGAGGCATTGTATGCATTTTTATAATAAATATTAAGTTTTTTTATTATAATATTATGACAATTTGTGATTCAAAAATAAAATTACGTATTTTATAATAATGTTACGCATTAATATTACGTATTTTTTTATCTATCATTTTATAACTACAAAATATATAACATATCACAAAAATATATAATTTTATTTTTAAACTATAAATTGTAGTAATATTTGCACAAAAATAAATAGCATGTACCACAAGAATTCATTGACATTCGAGGTCCGAGTAATTTCCTTTCCCACAAATTTGACAGGTTAATCCATAACTTTGAAATATATATCCTGTTCTCCCACAATTATTTATTGTATTCACATCCTCTGTATTGAAAACCTTGAGATCTGTCATCTCTGTTATTGTTGTTAGAAATGGTTGGAAAAAATCTGAAAATAAAACAGAATTTTTTCTTAATTTTTGTCTATTTTTTAAATGGAACCCGTACGTCAAAGTTAGCGGGTCTAAGTGGTAACGCGTTCTATGCCGCGTTGTGATTCACGTGGTATATTTGATTGCTCAAAACCATTATCGGATGAATGAGAAATTGAAGCCAAAGTGAGCTCAATGAAAATGAAGTTTTTGGTAAAAATTCCTTAAGGTTTGAATTTAATTTTATTTTTTGAAATAAAATCTATCCAAAGAATTCGAAATTGATTCCGAATTTCTGTCCAGGTTAATTTCAATTTTTGAAATTCAAAACGGTTTGCCCCTCTGTCCAACATATCCGAACCTGGTTCAAACCCAAAACAGGTTTTGTTCAAAATTCAAACACAAACAGATTCATATCTGTTTGAATTCAAACCCAAACAGTACCAATTCAAACCCAATAGGTTCAGTACCTGTTCAATTCAAAATAAAAAGGTGCTACTAAATCTATAAATAGACTAGCCCTCATTTAATGTTTTCATTCAATTTTTTCGTCCAAATAATTATGCAACTATTCTCTACACATTACTGCATTATTTTCTTTTAAGAAAAAGTGTAAAGACTTAGTGTGTTCATTGTACGAATAAATTGTAGTGCTGCATTTATTCGTTGATTGATCATTTTATCCTGAAAGATAGACGTCTACATTCTGATAGCACCGTGGAGAAGACGAATCTATCTTAAGGATACAGTGTCAAACACTAGACTTGATCAGAATATTGTTCTATAAATTAATCAAGTAAGTTGTTAATATATTTTATGTTTTATTTATTTAAATCAAATTTTGATTTTGTTTTTGTAACAAAATAAAATCTGTTTTTATGTATTTAATTTTATTTCTAGTTTGGTTTTTTGTAATCAAACATTATCCCACATTTTCTTTATTTCTTTTGTATTCTGTTTGTTGTTTAGTATATAAACATAATTTATTTTCTCAAATACAGTAAACATTGTCCAACAATCTTAAGACAAATTATTTTTTGGTGCCTTCATTGTATTTAATTTTGTGTTTTCACAAAATGATATTCTGGTTGAAAAACAAATAGTAGTAATATGTTGTTTGACAGATAGTAGTAATATACTGTCTATTTTCTTTGACAACTAATAGTAATATACTGGTGTTATTAACAATTGTAGAATATTAATTTGTGTTACAGAAAATTATTGTGGTATTTTATTTTTCTAGTTTTAGTAACTAGAAAAGTAATTTGTGTTTTGATTTTTTCTAATTTTTGTAATCAGATATTATGGCTACTACAACTACAACTGAAACTACAACTAGAAGTGGCATTCCAATTGTTACACCGACTCCAGTCCCTATTCAGAACCATTTTCAAGTTCCAATAAATCATGGAGAAAAATCGAAAAAATTTAACGGTACTGAGTTTAAGAGATGACAGCAGAAAATGCTATTTTATCTTACAACTCTAAATCTGACCCGATTTCTCCGTGAAGAGGCTCCAGCACTTAAAGAGGGTGAAAGTGATCGGCAAGTTGTTGTCGCTGTAGATACTTGGAAACATTCAGATTTCCTGTGCAGAAACTACATCCTCAATGGCCTTGACAATAAGCTATATAATGTTTACAGTCCTCTGAAGTCAGCAAAAGAATTGTGGGATTCTTTGGAGAAAAAATACAAGACAGACGATGCCAGCACAAAGAAATTTGTTATCGGTAAATTTGTGGACTTCGTTGTGGTAGACTCTCAAACGGTAATTTCTCAAGTTCAAAATTTTCAAATAATTTTGCATGATATTCATTCGCAAGGTATGTCTCTTAGTGAGGTTTTTCAAGTCGCGGCTTTAGTGAAAAAGTTACTATCGGCTTGGAAAGATTTCAAAAATTATTTAAAACATAAACGTAAGGAGATGACCATGGATGAGTTAATTGTAAGATTGAGAATTGAGGAAGATAACCGAAAGGCTGAAAAGTGGAATGGGAAAAATCCCATTAAGTCCAAGGCTAATGTGGTTAAACAAGTACACAAACCACATAACAAAAAGAAGAAGTTTACTGGAGATGGTCCTAAACAATGCGACAATAATGGCAATAAGAAGTTCAAAGGAAAATGCTATAATTATGGCAAGACTGGACATCGAGCTTCTGACTGTCGCCGCCCTAAGAAAGATCATGGAAGTACAAGTAAGAAGACCACTAATCAGGCCAATGTGACAGAATTAGATTACATCTCTGACGGGGTGAATGACATCAACCTCTCTGTTGTGGTATCTGAGGCTAATTTGGTTGGAAATCCCAAGTAATGGTGGGTTGATGCTAGGGCAACTCGTCATATTTGTGCGGACAAGAAGATGTTCACTATCTACAATGAGGCTGCAAATGGTGAACAACTTTTCATGGGAAATTCTTCTACTTCTACTGTGACTGGACAAGAAAAGGTGATCTTGAAGATGACATCAGGGAAAGAACTGACCCTCAACAACGTACTGTATGTACCTGACATCTGGAAGAATTTGGTTTATGGTTCTTTGTTAAGTAAAAATGGTTTTAGGCTTGTCTTTGAGTCCGATAAATTTGTATTAACAAAGAGTGGTATGTATGTTGGTAAAGGA